GCGACGGATGCGACCGATCTTTGCCTAACTGGGATATGACCCCCAAAGCGGTCAGTGTCCATCCGGGTCCCACAACGGGCATGCAGAAATCGTACGGTTTGTGTAAATTCTTTCGAAACGAATAAAGAACAATACTCGAGTGGAAATAACATAATTACGTTATTTCCACTTAGCTTAGGTTATGACGTGCAAATCGCAAAATTCAAGTCATTCGAGTGATATACTACTTTGATAGGTACTTGTATACCCTTTAGAAAGTCAAATTCGATATCAATAATGTTTTAATCACTCATATAAATTTCCGTATATCAGCTTAATGTTTCTGATCGATTTCCGTTGTAAAGAAATATTCGAATTAGGTTATGACGCTATAGCCTAGTCCTTCTGCGTTTTTTATTATAACCCAAATTCGATAACGTTACTTGTATGCTAGTTTGGTGATTGTGGCCGATTTCGTAAAGTTTGACGACCAGATTGCGATTATGTCATCATTTGTGGAGGCAATTAGCCAGAGTATATGCTACCTAGTACGCTATCGAGTATGTTATATATACGCTATTGGGTATTACATACATGCTATCTGAGCACACTATATCCATGCTATCAAAAAAATGTTATATATATGCTACCGGATATGCATCGTGTAATTGCTATCTGGCTATGTTATATACACGCTATCTGGTTATGCTATCAATTAATACTATCAAAAAATGTTATCAATTTACTTTGCTCATAGTTAACCCTAGAAAATCTGTCGTATATTTTGTAATGTTATCAGAAAATGTTATAGCTTTTGCAGAAACTCATATCAAATCTACAAAAAGAAACGTTTTTTTTAAATGTAATTAGTTTGGAATTTTGGTTGCTGCAAATAATATAATACTCTATTGCTAAGTTTTTTTATTTAATTTATCTAATTTTTTATTATTTCTATCTTTAGAAAAAGATGTATTATAAATTAAATCAAAAAAATTACTTAGCCTAAAATCCTTAAATATTATCTTTCTGTATATTTGGTTGAAACTGTAAATTATTAGTTTTTCTTTATTCTTTTTCTAATTATATAGAAGCTTAGTTAGAATGTTAATACTACCTACTTATATAAGATTGTTATTACTATCTGCTCCTTTACTTTTAAATTCCAAAACAGTATAATAATGTTTTGGTTCTAACATATCAAATAACATTGATATGTTAAAGACTAATTAAGTGCTTTTTGTTCGTATTAATTTTTTTTCTTAAACAAACCATCATTTTGGTTTCATCAAAAAAAAGCTTAATTAATCGGAGAATTACTGGTCACGTTATTTGTCCCATTTTCCGTTGATCATATAAAAATACATATTTTTTAACCGGATATATCTTGATAATGAGTAATTGTTTATTTAAACAAAGGCCGCCATTGTATAGTAAATTGGTTTAGTAACAAAATAGCGGCCTTTTTGTCTTGTATTACAATAATAAAATTTTTGATTACATTTTAAAGATATTCAAGTTTAGTTCCGCCTTTAAGTGTCCTGCACCGTAACACTGCTAGAAACGAAAAAATATTCATAAAGATGCCTATAATCTAATACGTATATACAAAAGAATTCACCACATTTAATAAAAAAAATAGATACACGTAAAGTAAGCAAATGTGATATTTATTACTACTGTAATATCTCTGACTTTACTAATAAATCTGAACTCATTAAAGAATTTACGATATCTGATATATGATATAATCAAAGCTTTAATTTACGATTAACTAACCAAACATACTAAAAAGAACAGACAAATTTACATTAAATCCAGACCTTTCTGCTAAAGGACTTGTATCTATTCAAATTAAACAGCAGTAAAAAATTTATTTAAATATAACATAATAATTAATAAAGTTCTTTAAGACGAAACGTTCTTAGTTACCTTTATTCATTCTATAGTATAAATTCGTCGGTACAATAGACATATATTGTCTTCTAATCAGGGTGAAATCTTTTCGCGTAATGAATATTTATTGTCGTTTAAAGCAACAGGTGGTTTTTGCAACGATTTTTTTGTTGGTAAAATGTTTGAAAAAGTACCTTCAAGTTTCTTTTCTATAGCCATTTTAATAAAAAGTCACTACTAAGCTAATACTACTTAAATAAGATCTTATTAGAGATTATTTTTAAAGGTAATATTCTGACACTTTAACGAAGAGACCTATATAAAAATTGGCGTTCTTTTAGTATGTAACACTTGATTTAGTATGTAACACTCGATTTTTTAAAAAGTACTCTAAAGCATATAATAAGTTACCCAGGCAATTGATTTACATCAGCCAATCAGACGAACTTCTGTCTATGAGGTTTAGCCGCGTATGCTTATTTCTGCAAGTGATACAAGTCAAAAAGGAAAATTTTCTATGTAAATCGCAAAATCAGGTGTAATATTTGTGTAACGTGAGATAGAATGCTTTTAAAAACAAAATTCCTGGCCAAATTTTACTATACGCCTTTTTTATACCAACCTTTAACCCTAGCCTTAACGCTGGTCAAATCTCATGTGCTATCACTTGCATAAATAAATAAATCCGGTTTAGCCTGGAATACGGTATCGGTATTTGTTGGTTTAAGGATTCCTGTGTAACTATAAATATAATGACCAAATTTAATGTTTTATATAGTGCTCTATATATATTAAAGGTTAAGGTTAGATTTAAGTGTGGTTATATGTAAAATTAGGAGCCGAAAATTTTTATTTAAAGTACCTACACCAATTTTTATAGTAACATTTTAAGATATTACCGATTTTTGATTTTTTTTTTCTTTTCTAATATACCGTGTAATTTACCAATCACGTACAATTAGTAATCCTCTATAATGATTACCCTAAGGCGCATATTGTCACGAAAATAATATACAAACAATAATCGAATGATCATAACCAACAATAATCGCATGATCATTATTACTTCCTCTTTTTTTTTAATTGTAGTTGTTGGGTTTTAATATAAACTCAACAAAATGTTGAAGGAAAGGTTAAAAGAATGAAGTATTTATCGCATAATTTGTTACTAACATTTATTACTTGGTTATTTTGCCGGGATCTACGCAAAATGACACAAAATATCGATACTCAAAGTTCACCTATACAGAACTATCTAATTCTAATTTTTCCGTCATTTATATGGGTCATTATCAAGACGGTACCATGCTTATTCGAATCAGTCGGGATAATACCACAACATGTCTTGAGCAGAGGTTATTACTTCGTGTTATTGAAACAAACGGAAATGTTATTGAAATAAATTTTGATAATGAGGAAATACAATACATCAACTATTGCAAAGCTTGTTTTATAAGTCCTCGATTCTATATACAAGTCCTTCCATTATTTGACCAATACATTCTACTGACATATATTCATGGAAGTATTCCCTCTGATAATGCAACTTTTACTAATCGGGGAATGGTTATCGATTGGAGCGGAAAAATTATAAGGTTGTCAAAAAATATCATAGGAAAGAGTGAAACCCGCGCTGTAAATTAGTAAAATCCGCTAAGTAGATCATGTTAGTGTGAAATCCGCGTTTAGCTATGTTTTTTATTTCACCCTCATGTGATCTGCGTAGCGGCTTTTACTAATTCTCAACGCGGGTTTCACCCTGTCGTAATATAATTATGTGTTTCTGGTTATTGAAACATTACAACTGACTATAATTATATAAAATACGATAGTAAAATCGAATTTGGTCCATCTTTTCTGTATCCATCCGGCGCATGGTGCAGAGAAAACTTAGCGGCTATTAACATTGATCCCAGCAAAGGATTCGCATATTTCTACCGAGTACGTGGAGAATGGGATAATTGGGGAGAATTAAGACAATATATAGTGTATGTTGCATTCAAATGTTTGTCAATCATACACGCATGTACACAATTTAATTTTATTTTATTTTTTAGTGATAATAATGGAACAATTATTTTATTACAGCGTAGCAAGATAGTAACTTTAGATAGTGGCGGCTTAGACATACATTCAACTGTAGATAGTGGATATATGTCTATATACATTCTTTATCCTGCCGGTATAAGTAATTCTACATTTAATGGAGGAGGATTATATGTCACACTGTTGGGTTATAATCAAACAGTGATGAGTAATGAAATGATTTTATATAAACCACTAGGAGATCTAGGATTTGGTGGTGCATTGTGTGACACTAATTATGTTTCTGGTCATATGTGTCTTTTATTTGTCACCACAAATACTACTATAGCAACGAACACACTTTATTATACATTACGCTTTCTCTCTACAGGATCTGTAGTATCAATATCTCAAATAATGAATCCAATTTTCGACCTCAATTCAACGTATTTCAAATTATTGCCTCTTGGAGGATACATATTTGCTTCAATAACACCATATGGACAAGCTAGTAATTTGACCTTTCGTCTTTATTACGAAAATAATAGTCTAGCCGATTGGGATTTTCCGCTGAAGCCTATTGTCCTAGATGGATTCTTTGATATATTGCCAAATAATACAATGACTGTGTTGGTAAATTTAACATCTACCTCTTGGAGTCTTCTTATGATTGATCTGCCTAACCTTTCCCCGTACGATGGTAAAATATTTTTGATTTTATATAAGAAATAGAATTTTTTTTTCTTTAATTGAATAATCTTGTGTCGACCTTATATAGATAATGGATATGATAATTTACATGTGAAATTAACATACCCTCCAAAAGACTATAGGGAACTATTAGTAAATTCCAATATGATTTCCATCGAATTTCACGAATCCGTTTTATTCTCGGATGGCAATTTAACCATTTATCAAAAAGTCAACCAAACTGATATTATTCGACAGATAATTAACTCAAGAACTTGCAAGTGTTCTGCTTCAGAAACGATAATCAAACTTGAAGTATTTTCTTGTGCTTTTAATGATCCAGGTGGTCAATTTTATACAAATGGACAACAATTTTGTAAAAAGCGCAAGTTACAATGAACCCATATTGGGAATTAAACCAAATATATGGACATTTCAAACAGGTACATATATATTATTAGTCTGGAGCGAAGCGGAGGACTCTATTACTACGTAAACAGTGATCTCCGTCATTAAGCCTAGGTGCCACACAATGAATGCACGATAATCCTCGCTTTTGATTGGCCAGCTGCGGTGATCGACAAAATTCTGGCCCGCATTATACATAATTTTGGCCGGAATTAATTTTGTGTAAATTTTTTAATTCCAAAAAGGAAATTTTCAAGGGTTAGGCCTGTCCAATGGTAAAATTAGCCCAGGAACATTTTTCATTTAATGGGCAGTTGCGATTTCATTAGTTAATTTTGGCCTAAATTTTTGATCGTCACCATTGGCACCTAGGTTTAATGTAGTGTTCCGAGTTGGTAAAAATTATTCAATCGATTAGTTGTCAACTATAGTTGCAACTGATCAATTTTTCCTATCATGTGACTAAATTTGTTGATTGGCCAATTAAACTAAAGAAATCAACACGTGCCAGTCCGAATATACGGAATATCTCGGTATTTAACTAGTGGAAAGTTGTCAACTAGTTGTTTTTTAAACTAACAATTTGGGTCACTAGTTAAATGGATAAAGTCGACAGGGGTAGAATCGTCACCAAAAAAGGGGGCGTCTAAAGCGGAGTAGATTCTTTATAATATATTTTATTGAATTAACTTTAGGGTTAGGGTCATCTTAGCCTTCCCGACATTTTTAATTAACCCACCCGAGGTAGGTTTAGGCTGCCTTTTTCGTAGTTTGGGAGTTTTGCATTTTTAAAATTCTATGATTTAATTGGCACGCGGTCACGTGAACCTGCTCTGCTTTAGACGACCCCAAAAAAGTTTCAAGAAAAATGTCGTTTATTTAGGTTAGGGTTAGGATTTTACCATTATATTGGTGCCTAAAATCATTTATTATAGCAAAATTTTACAAGAAAAACTTTTAATTAATGCCCAGTAGACAGTTTCATAAGCGATTTTTCGGATCGTGTTACGTTACACCTGATTTTGAGATTTGATTGGTCTTGAAACTTACTTTTTAGGGTGGCGATTTTGCCCAGTTGATAAAGTCCGTCCGCCCACGTGATATCAACCCAATTAAATGGCAGCACATAAAAAATTACTTTCGTATGAAATTGGATTATTGTGAAATTTGGAGGCCTTTTTTTGTCTGCCTTTTTTATAGTTAGAGTTATTGATGAAAGAGTATATATATGTGGATTTTGGTAGGGCTTATATTTTCAAATTGAGACCCACAAATTTCACGATGATCCGATTTCACGATAATCCGCGACATTATATACAACTTAAATACTCGCTCTGGACATACGTTGTTACATATGCATTTTACCTAGTATACTGTAATTGCTGTTAATAATTATAGCGGCTAAAGCTGGGATTGGGGTCTCTATTTAAATCTATATACCTACTAAAATTCACTTGTATTACTTTATTAATAAAACTACCTCTAAACTTTAACCTAGCTCTAAAAAATGCCAACAAAAAGGCCCAAAAATTTTTAAAATATAATATTAAAATATCTTAGCTTTAGCCGATCTTAACTTCAGCTGCCGTGGCTGAAGCTAGAAATGGCTTAAGTTGGAAATTTTAAATATTTTACTATGAAATTTTCAAAAATTTTGGGATGTTAAAAGAGTATAGGTTGATTTTGGTAGTGATTATATTGTTATGTCAAGATAATTTACAGTTTTAACTGCGACAAAATTAAAATTTTTATTAACAATACGTATTATCGATTAATTTAATAGCTAATAATATAACATCAAGCCAAATACGCACTGGTAATATTTGTTTGTTTTATTTTCTATATAAATTAAACTCTAAATTTATAATTAAATTTAGGTAGTATCCGAGGAAAACTACTGTTAACAACAATTGGATCTCAATATTTTCAAAGATTAGATAACTCAGGAAAACATGGTTTCTTTTACTATTTAATAAATGAACTTACAAATATGATTCCCATAGAGCAAGGAAGACTAAGCACAAATGAATATTATCAGATTGATAATACCTGGTCCACTTCTGAACAAATCCTTATTTCACTTTTTATTAATGAAGAGGAAAATGAAAAAATGAATGCCATTGCTATTAGAGATGATTTAGACCAGTTAGTTAGAGAGAAAAAATCTACAGGTCTATCAATGGGAAAAATCACAAAATATTTAGATGAAACTTATGGATTCAAAGAACTCAGTAAGAATTTGCATTTGTTATTATTATGGTTATTGTTTTATTATCGTTGTAATTACAGTTACTTTATTGTTCTTTTGATAGTGTCATTTTCAGAGCTATTTAAATTATATCAGACAAGGTTCATTTGGTTGTTCGTAGCCATAGGTTTATTTATTGTACTATTCATAATAGCTAGGCTGATATCACCAGAGGTAGTACTACAATCTTCTTTAATCAAAATGGTTACTTTATTCATTTTATTGTTTATTATATAAACATATAGAGTCAAAATATTGCCATTTTTCAACTTGGTTTTATTATATTCCGAATAGTTACTGTTGTATTATTTGTTATAAATAATGCCAAAACCATCCAAGGTCTTTACATACCAAGGTAATGCTGTTATTAAGTTTTAGCTAATTTATGGTTCAACCAAATTTACTTATATTTATTATTAAAAAATTAGCTTATCATTCTTGGTGGCTCCCATAGGATTTAACTTATTTTTAGCATTTTCAATAATATTTTCTGAGAGGAGTAGAGATTTTATCAAATGGTTTTCAAACTATGGCAAGGCTACAACTTCATTCGCATTATTAGCTGGGGCAAATATTGATGTACTATTGATATTAAAGTCGCGTTTGGGAAAATTAAACATTTTCAATGCACCATTCTCTGATAAATCATTGAAATTAATTTTTGGAGGATCTTGTATCGATATATTTTTGGCAGACATACCACAACTTATTATTCAGGTACGTTAAAAAATAACTTTGAATATTAATTATAAACTAATTTATTAAATTTCACCTAATACATAAATTATTTAGATATTTTATATTCGTTTTAGTGTCGAACCTGAAATTATTCCATTCTTTGTCTTAATAGCTTCAGGTCTTTCAATTCTTTCTAGCGTAGTTAGTAAATTACTTTTTATTAAATTTAAAGCATACTCTCCTTATTTAAGTAATTTAGATGAACGTAAAGATATCCCATCAGACACGTTAGATTTTGATTAATTAAAGAGGTTGGAACCGGGTTTATCACATGAATTTGTGATAATTTAGAAATTTATCCAATTAAATTTTAATAAATTCTAAAATATCACAAAATTCATGTGATAAACTCGAATTATTAAAACTGGTTCCAACCTTCAGCAAAGATATATAAATACCACACTATTGATATTTTTTTATAAATATACATGAATGCTAGACTTCATCATTAAAATAACAGGTTATTATTAAATGATTTTATGATTTATAATCTTTTTGATTTTATAATAATGCTAAGTATTAATGCTTGTTTTTACTTAAACAATTTATCACTTAGTCTTTAATTCTCTTAATTACATCTTAAATGCAACTGCTCTTGATATGTTTATTAATCTTGTTCTGATTTGCATAAAGAAAATTTTATATTTAACAATTTCAAATTGCATAATTTTTTATATATGTCATCTTTTAGTTTTATTTTATTTGGTTTAGTGTTTACTGATCTTATTTAATTCATAATTCTTTTTCTAGTTTATTTTTACCTCTGATTTCAATATCACAAATTATTATTAAAATTGATTTTTAAACTATTTAATGAATTAAATATTATATTCTTCTTTCTTATATTATTATTAATATTTAAATATAGATAAAGCTTAGTTATTCTTATAAATTTAAATTATAAATTATATATTTGAATTTATATTTTTATATGTAATTTAAAAGCAAGTTTTTCTTTATAAAAATTTTAATTGAATTTCAATAAAATTAAAAATATGGTCTTACTTTTAATATTTAAAAAAACAATATTAAAGTCTGTTATTGAATAATAAGTTATATTAATATAATAAAAAATAGTATTATTAAAAAATTCTAGTATTACAATTGAGAGTATAGTCACATAATTTCTAATCTTTTGACTCTCTAAAAATTTGGTTTTTTAAAATTTATTTTACTAATTATTTTGTATATTACTATAGTATTATAAAATAACTATTAGGTTCTTATTTTGAAATATAATTTTCAAATCTAAGAATTAATTTTACTAATTTTTTTAAAAAAATAATTTATTATTTGTATTTGTTAAAATTAATTATTAGTATTGGCATAGCCAGAATTAAAAACTGGTTAACTAAAATATGGCAACCCTTCTTTCTTCCAAATACTGCTTCTGAGT